AAGATCATTTTTCTCAAAAATTGCACACGATTAGCCTTAAAAATATGTAAAAAAGTCGCAATAGTGCATTTGGGTAAAGTTCTCGTTACGATAAGCAAAGACAACTACATTTTGAATAATTTTGCATTACATTAACTTTATGGCGTCCGCCATTTTTGGGTCCTAAGGGCTCCATTCAGCCTAAGATGGCTGAGCCAATCAGAGGTGGTAACTCCAGTGGCCATACTCTCTCTATAGGTACTCTACCTGTATAGGGAGAGTACCGACAGATCCGAAGCTCCGAAAGTCCATCAGGCTTTCACCGATGCCTCCGCGAATAAAGTTAGGGCCCAAAAGAGCAGCCAACCTATGAATTTCAATTATCTAGAGTGATTTACTGATACTATTGTTACGAACCGTCTTTTATTAAGCACGTGTTTGACTCAGTTTTTGCATAAATTCACTCAATTTCGCGGAAGAACGCTCATTTCTGTACATTCTTGGCCGTCTTGGTTAGAATTGGAATGTACAGACTGGCAGTGAAATTTTGTGCGTTAGAAGTTGGTTAGAGGGGTGGCTGCACTTTTGGGCCCTAAGCCCTCCATGAACCGATCTGTCGCTACTCTCCCTATACAGGTACTCTAGTCCACAATAGCCAAAAACCTCGCTGAGCTGCAAGGTAGATTTACACAGGTATGGAAAAGTTGAAAATTTCCCATGAGCCTCAGTACGTGTCACATGACCTCGTGACGTAGGTTAAGGGGCCCGTTTTTTAATTAAATTACAATCAAATTAAAATTCAAACGTTTGTGCGTTTAAACGCTAAAATTAATATCGCATAACCAAAATTGTGCAAAAAATCCCACAAAATTTTGACAAACGATAAACCGAACATAATAAATCAAAATAATCAAAACATCCAAAATGGCTGACGTTTCTGATTGGCTGGAGAGCCAATCAGAGGCCAGTTGTTTAGTTCTGTCCATACCTGTGTAAATCTACCTTGGCTGAGCTAGAGTCCCTTTTTACTGAGAGTCAAGACAATTTGAATCCATTTCTGATTGGTTCCCGTATTTTAGGCCTGTTGACAGTGTCACAAACGGGAATAAAGATTACATTTTCACCAATTGCAAAGATTATAATCTGGAATGGACCAGGGAATTACGGGTTCGGCAAGGAACAAACGGAATGAGAGGAGGAACGGAGAAAGGCATTTGAGAATGGGCCGATAAAAGATAGAGTCCCTTTATACCCAGAGTTAAGACAACTCACTTTTGGTTGGGCTGAAAGTGGCCTAAAAAAAAATCCAATTCTGATTGGTTCTCGCTCATGGAGGCCGAAACGAGTGCACCAAGATGGCGGTACCTCGAATGTGAACAAGAATAATGAAAATATTACCTAATTGTGGTTTATCAAGAGTAAATTGTTATTTCCATCGGTCCTAAATGAAAATAGATTAAGAAATTATTCACAAACCAATCTCATTTTCTTTTTAATTGATCAATTTGTTGATGTTGTTGTTTTTGTGTGACAGACATCGCAGGATTCCTGATCCTTATCCCTCAATATCGTTCGTTTGGGTGCACTCGTTTCGGCCTCCAGGCTCCATGGCCAGCCAAGGCCGGTTGACAGTCAGCTGATAATCGAGTTGTCTTAACTCTGGGTATAAAGGGACTCTAATCAAAGATTACGAAAAACGTTCAATTTCTGTAATCTTTATTCCCCAGCCCACATACAAACTAGAGGCTTCAAAGGGACTCATCGATTTCCCCGACTTAAACCGCGGAAAACGGGTAAATCCACCAGAATTTACCAACGCTTTCGTTGAGCTCAACGCTCAGCGGGTAATTTTCGTTGGGCAGTTGTGGACTTTAACAACGCATCTAAAACGTTGAGCTCAGCAAGCTCAGCCACTCAGCGGATAACTCAGCGGTTGCACTTCTGACTTTATCAACGCGTCTTACGCTGACTTCAATGCTTCAATTTCTAACTTTAACAACGCGTCTCTCTTATTTGTGCCATCTATCTCATTAAGAAGCATCCCTGAAGAAAATCTGAACGGTTCTGATCATTATGTTGAGGATTCAAAACTGCGATCCGGAAGAAGATCGCAAGAAAGTTAACGAGGAAATCAAGACTAGTGTCACAGCTTTTTGTATCCTTGTTGGCTTGATAAGACTAGGTACAGTAAATTCTCCACTTACCTCTTTTTTTAGGTTGTAAATCATGACATGAGGTAGCATGTTTCTCTCAATCCGCAGTTACACCTAACAGGCATCATGTTTTTACTTTGTCCTGTTGTCAAAAGACCAGTTGCCATGAATTTTTCCAGGCCCTTGTCACTGAATCCTTTCTCTTCTCCGAACTGGGCACCCATATCAATTCTGCACCTGCCAATCACATTCCATTTCCTTTTCATGTTCACTCATTCATTGTCTGTAGAGGTCCTTACATACTTGATTCTTTATCTAACTCTTTCTTGTTTGTTCAATTTTGGCTCGCCCAACTCAATGTTGCAGACGGTCGGTCAGCCACCATCAGATGAGAGATCACAGATGGGTCACTTCCCATCAAAAATCGCACGGCAAAGATAATGGAGGGTTTGGACTTTATTGAAGAGTAGGGTGACCCTTGAGTGTGTTGTACACTTCACAGGATTCAGTTTGAAAATATTTTCCTCATCACCAGAGAATACTGATGAATCACCAGACAAAGTTAGAGTACATGTAAAAAGATGTGAAGGCACCTAGATAGGGGGAAAATGTGAAGGCAGAAGGCTTTTAAATCTTTACGTGTACAGTTTTTTGTAAAGGAAACTGTGTAATGTGCTCTCCTATGCAAAAAAAAAAAAATTGTCAAGTCCTTATGCAAAGGCAACAGTGAAGTGGGCAAGTCATTCGTGGACAGCAATGTGAAGGCAACCTCGAAAAATGCGAAGGCTGTTTCCAAAAATGTGCGGGTGAAGAACTTTCAGCACCCCTGCGTGTCCTAAAGAAAGGATGAAAATATGTACGAATTTGTCATTAGGTATTATGTGTGTGTGCTTATCTTCGAAAAATGATTTTAATAAGTATGCAAGATATCATTATGTATGTGATTGTTGGAAGAATTTTTGATTGATGTCTGAAATTGGTATCATCATTTTGATAAATTCATTCCTCTTCGTTCATTTCCTCCTTATTTGTGGAGTATGTACTAAGAGATATAAAACTCGGAAGACAAGAGGCCCAATGTACCATTATCAAAAAAATTGAAATATTGATGATTTTAAGTGACACTAGTCTTGATTTTTTTTTTTTTTTTTTTTTTTTTTTTTTTTCCTACTTCAAATAGCCCACAAGGGCTAATCCCACGCTGTAAGTCCCATCCCCCCTCCGTCCCTACTGAACCAGCCCCAGGCAACCATTGTTTGAGACCATCAAACTCGGGTCGCCTGGCCGGAAATCGAACCCGGGACCTCCCGATTATAGAGCAAGCGCTACAACCACTACACCATAGGAGGCCGACAATGCCTGATTAATGCCTGTTCTGTGAAAAATTTGCTCCCAAATTCCAATTTAAGCCTAAAAAAGTCAGTTTGAACTTTTTCTTCCATCATAAGGATCCATGTAATTTCGTAACTTCAATCACTTATATCCTGAAATTGCAAAATCTTCTGTATTGTATTTATTAGAGCTTTCCCGATAATCCTCATCAAGTATGCTGTGACGCAAATCTCCCGGGGTGGGCGGTGGGGCTGCGGAGTGGTGAGAGGGCGGATGGGGCTGGGGGGCGGGGGCAAGTGATGAACAATAAGTAAAATGATTAGGTAGTAAATGAATTATTACCCACTGTGTTAGGGTATTTTTTTATATTGGCCGGAGCCCATTTCAATAAATAAGCGCATCAAATTATATGCCCATTTACGTGGAGGGGTTTTTAACAAATGGGACATATTACCTAAACCTGAAACTATTCTAGGTAGGTATATAAACCATACTTAAGCAGAGTGAGGCTCAGAATGACCAATAACCCATTTTTTTGAGCTTCGTCATAACTTTTTTAAGTGTAATAACATTCAGTTGTAAATATTTTCAGCTCCATTAGCATTAAACACATGGTATCCCAATATCCAGTGATGGTGCCAAGGAGTTCGTTTCTACTAATATACTCTACTCATTGAATCAAGAGATGATCAGCCTTCTCAGGATGCTGTGAGTATCCTAGTATGCAAATACATTTTCTGTGGATGAGTTACTCCTCTTGTTTTTAAAAATGAACGCAAGTCCAGCCATCTGTGTGAGTGCTTGTAGATCTATATCCATGGTGAAACTCGTTTCCAGCGTATCTTGTTTGCTGTCTTTATAAGTCTCTGCTCCCATTTTATTAATTTGAAGAAAAGCAAATCATCATCATTCCTTCAGGTATTCACAGAATTTCCCTCTCACAGAAAAGAAAAATCTCGGAAGTTTTAAAAAATTGACTTTGAGCAGTTTGTAATTCAAAAAATAAAGTACCTGTAGCAAGATTTCTGGACTGTCGTAAAAGGAAAAACGTGGTTTGGGAGTTTTGTCGTTGATATGGAAAAAAACTACTTATTACTCATAACTTATTTTTTAATTATTTTTTTTTAGTAGCATATGGCACATGAGGCTAGGCATGCATTACATGCTAAAACCTTCTGTCAGTGGTCAGATTTAAAAATAAGCAACATATACTGCAGACTGCTGAACTAGCATCACACAGTGTTTTTGAACAGTTCTCCATCTACAATAGCACAAGTTAATACTGGTGTTGCTCATTTTCGGTAACTGGTCCGATGAGAACGAGCAATTTCTAACTCTTGCATTTTTGAAAACTAATGTGCTCTTTTCAAAATCAACCAGAAGTTCGATAGCCTTTTGTACCCCTTAAAATCGAGTCAGTCTGCATAGAAACAACGTATAAGCTTTGCAATATTGCTCAGATTGTGCAACGGTTTTCGTAATTCGTCACAAACCAAACCCATGTAAACTTATAAATTATTTTAGAGGAAAGTTGGTCAAAATATAAACGGTTTATGGAGGCAACTACTTACGGTTTAAACTTTTCTGTACTCAGCTCAGGTGTATTTTTAAATGTTTGTGTTAATTTTCAGATTCAAAATGGGATTATAATGATGGCAGTCAAAGTTATCGTTTCCCTCAGCACAACTGTCAGTAAGATCTCAGTTTTTTCTGAGAGAAGGATTTTAAATCAGTTGTTAAAATAATTTTCAATCATGTTTGTTATAGATAACAAATTTTCTTAGTTAATCTTTACCATAGTTATAAAATGCATAATAAAAAATTTGTCATGATTCCAAATGTCTTGTGTTACTGATCGCTTTGATATTTTAGGTCTCATAAGACCTGCTTAAAATAGAAAGAGAGCGGGGCCAAGAGAGAGAGAGTTGAAGAAACACTAAGATGTTCCTCTATTGTTTTTTTTCTTTGCCGAAAACCACTCTCTCATCTCATCGCGCCACTATTTATACTTTTTCTTTCATTCCTTAGTGGGGCTTTTTAACTTAATTCCTTGGACTCACCTTTCAAGTACAACCCATGTTAATTGGACTACATTTTGCAACAAGGAACTACTATTTCTGGCTCCTATTAAAACACCTATCTGCTTAGAGAAACTAATGGCACATATGTTGCTCATGACTTGAGCCAGAAATACTAGTTTCTCATTGAAAACAGTAGTTTAATTCTGCTAAGATTGTGTAAAGTATCTGCGTCTTTTCCATCGTTAAAAAAGCTCTACAATTAGCCTGTTCTCCTCTCCACCTTCCTTACAGTTTTACACGAAAAAAGAAAAAAAAACTAGAACCAAAAACAATTAAATTTGGTCTTTCTCAACAAAATTGTACTTGCTGTATTTTTTTTGTTTTTGTTTTTTAAAATATTTTAGCAACATGTAATTCCACTAACTTTCTGGAGTTTTTACATTAACTTTATCTTAATCCTCTCAGGGTATTTAATCAATTGGCAGGGGACTTAAATCCGTTGGCTGTGATCTTGTAGCCACAATGCTAGGTTCAGCGCCGTTGCGATTCTTCTCGCCCGCAGGAACTTGCAGGCACTTCTGAAAAGAGTCAGGAGCGCTACCGTTAGGCAAGGAGGATTTTCAGGGTCAAATCGAGATTCAATTAAAAAGTAGACAAATTTCGATCGTCGTAATACCTGCTGACAAAAATATTTTATGTAGGTATTGCAAGGGGCACCTCTGGTGTAGTTCCATAAGTCACGATTGGTCGGTAATTTTGATTGTTAAGCAGGACCAGTTCTTCATTCACTTCTACCCACTTGATTCATGATAAGTTCTTCATTACCACGATTATCTACTTCGTCCACATTCTGACTGCACAGACTCTCATTTTTATCGATTGTTGACTGAAATTTGGGGCTATCCTCTGAGATTTCATGCTTCACTATTTCTTCTTCAGACCTTCGTTGTTCTGCCTCAAGCTCAGCAATAGATTAGGGATGGTCGAATATTCAGATATTTGAATCATTGGCACCGAGATAATCGCATCACGTTCGAATATTCGCTTCCGAAGTATTCGAAATTGCAAAGTCGAATAATCGCATTCAAAAGTGTCATTTTATCTCTCACGGTTCATAAAAAATCAAAAATCGAAGCAATAATCGAAAATATTTGCATCCGAACTATTCGCAATCGCATGATTTGAATTCTCAAATATTCGCAATAATCGCATTCGAAGAGTTTCGAAAATTCGAATATTCGAATTCGATATTCGTCCATCCCTACAATAGATTATTTCAAGTTGAGGAAAGCTTGCTTCTGCTCCTCACAACCAAACGAACCAACTACGTCTTCACTGTCGACAAGCATTTTGCACGCTGCTAATATTATCTCTAATTGTCTAATTCCACCAACTGCTTCCGCCTTTTCGGCTTTTTTGAACCAATTGGTACCTTGAAGTTTGGCGTCTCCAGGTGCCTCTGCCGAGATTTGGTCTTTTCTCAATAAGAACACATTAGACTTCAAATGTTTTTGCTCCGGAGCACAGGAAGAGCCGTTGAAAAAAATACTGCATTCAATTGAATCATACTCTGATCATTTGATTTGGATAAGCGATCGCAGGTGATGAGTTTTATTCTTCTTGAATAATCATTCCCGGCCAAACAAAAGTGTTCCAGTGTGGGTGCTCGCTTCTTTGTGTCTGCGAAGGTTAAAGTACCTACTCTCACTACTTGTTGATACGGTTTTCAGGAGCAGGAAGTTGAATGCCTTTTTCTTCTTCACCCTTCTTCTTCTCTTTTTGTTAATTATCTTCTTCTCTTCATTTTCTCTTCGTTATTGTACCCTCTTTTTCATCTTCTCATTAACTAGTATACCAACCTTGAGTGGTAGCGGTTCAAATAACGGAAAGAAGGCAATGGACATTCAGTTAGGGGTTTCATACAGGATTTCATACGTAGGATTTAGGATATCCGGGACAACATAAGATGGTCAGGAGAACATAGTACGGACGGGACAGCAGAGGAGGGATAGGCTCAGTTTGGTTCCATAACCTTTCAGGTACTCATACATGCAGTCAATGAAGGTACTTATAGTTATTAGTAACTCAGTCTTGATTGCCTGAAACAAGATAACAACAGAAACAGAAAAACGAACTATCTACGTTTCACACTGACTTCGAATTCAGACCATAACGGTATGTCAGATACAATCAGATAATTTTATCCACCTTGCTTTCTATAGAGGGCAGAAACGGACAGTATGGCTTATGGCACGATGCACATTTTTTCCCCCGAGGGCCGTGATAAAGAAACACCACTGATTTTTACTAACCAACGTTGCCACGTCTATACCAGCAAGGGATATAGAACCTAAGTAGCCAAGGCGAATAAAGAACGGTGGTCGCATTTCGTACCCTCTTGACGTCACACGACATCGGGTACGTTTCGAGGTGCGTTTTTTGCTGCCCAACAAAAATGGCCGCTGAGGTGCGTTGTTAAATTACTTTTACTGCCCAACAAAAATGGCCAAATCTCAGCAGGATTGACGTCATCTCAACGACGACGTCAGCTCAACAGACGGGAGAAAATCGAGGTGTCGTTGTTAAATTCCCGTCGGATTCTGCGGATTTGGAGGTTAAGTTTTATTGAAATTAAATATTTTTAACATTTAAAAAATCTTATCAACACCCACATTATTACGAAATTGACGCAATAAACGATTGTAAGCAATTGCAAGTCAGTCTGGTGACGAACATGTGGCGAAAAAGTGCGAAAAAATGGCGGTTATGGGTGTAAACAATAACATCTAAAAAATCTAATGAAAAATTAATTTTTCCGAGCCAAAAACCACCATAGTATTGACTTTTGTGCAAATCCATCGATAAGCAGCCGTGATATGGATTTTGCGTCATTTTTTCGCCGCCATTTTAAAGTTTTTGAAAATTTCGAAAATCCAATGAAAGATTCGTTCTTCTCGTGTCAAAATGCCCTCGGATACCAAGTCTCATACGAATCCGACGATAAGCAGCCTGAATATCCCTTTTCCCGCTCTAAGCCGCCATTTTAACCGCCATTTTGAAAAGGACTGACATTTCTGGAAAACTAATGCCAAAATCGTTTTTCTCGTCCCAAAAAACCTGAGGATTCTGAGTTTCAGACCAATCCGCCGATAAATAACGGAGATGCTAAATTTCCGCCATTTTGGACTTTGAAAATCAACATTTTGACCTGCGGTTTGCGCCAAAATTTGTCTTTTCATATTATCTTTCGAATGAGGTATCACAAGGGGGGGGGGTTGTGATTTGAAAAAAAAAAGTTAGCCCCCGTCCCCCTCAGGGGGGGCCGCCCCCCACAATTTTTGGGGGGACCAAAAAGTTGCTACCTTAAACTGAGGAACATTCCCAACGTTTCAAACTTCTATCTCAATTAGGAAAAAAGTTACAGGGGTGGTAGGTAACTTTTGGATAACTCTGTATAAACCCCATTGCCACATCCATCGCTACATTTTACAATTTACTTCGAGATCTACTTTTAAGAAAGGCATTTTATAATTTGAACGAATTTCTAAATTCAGCTGTTGAGTAACGTTCTACTAATGTAACAGTTGTAATTTATATTTTTAATTATTGTATAGTGTTTTTTGACCTGTGCCATAGCCCTAATAATGGGGCTCTCATGCACGAAAGTTTTAATAAATAAATAAATAAACATTGCCAGATTCACCTCGGCTCTTTTCTGGATCGTTTCGGATTCGGATTGCCTTCGTGTCCGCGTATATTTAAAACAGCTATTCCGGGCTCGCTGAAGCCAGCTGGTCAAGGAAAAAGTAAAGAAAATAAAGAATCAGAAGAGGAAGTGCAAGAAATTGTAAAAGAGAAATAAGTAGGTAATAAAAGCAAAGGTATTAATAGAAGAGATTCAAATAATACAAAAAGAACGACATACTAAGAGAAAGAGAAAATATTTGTGAGGGGGGATCGGAAAAAAGAGAATGAAGAATAAAAGGAATAAAACAGAACGAAAAAGAAAGAAAAAATGAGAAAATTAGTACAATTCATTGAAAAACCGTGCACGTAGTACTAACATGGACCAAGAGAATAAATGAGGACCTCCAACTCCCAATTTAAACCTGTGTTAAAAACCGTTACCGCGCGACCGCAACGAACCTTGCAAAGGGTGCGGTGAACTAACGCCACAGCGGTCCACGATAGTACCTCTATTCTACAGGGTTATCCAAAAGTCACTGACCACCCCTGTAACTTTTTTCCAAATTGAGATAGAAGTTTGAAACTTTGGGAATGTTCCTCGGTCTAAAGTAGCAACTTTTTGGTCTCCCCAAAATTTTGGGGGGCGGCTCCCCCTAAGGGGGGCGGGGGCTAACTTTTTTTTCCAAATAGCAACCCCCCCTTTGTGATACCTCATTGGAAAGATGATAAAGAAAGAAAATTTTTGGCGCAAGCCGCAGGTCAAAATGTTGATTTTTGACAAAATGGCGGCTGGTCAAAGTTCAAAATGGCGGAAATTTGGCATCTCCGTTTTTTAGCGGCGGATTGGTCTGAAACTCAGACACACAGGGTTTTTTGGGACGAGAAAAACGATTCTGGCATCGGTTTTCCAGAAAAGTCAGTCCTTTTCAAAATGGCCTAGAGCAAGAAGTGGATATTTAGGCTGCTTATCGTTGGATTTGCATGAAGCTTGGTATCCGATGGTATTTCGGCACGAGAAGAACGAATCTTTCATTGGATATCTGAAATTCCGACGAATTTCAAAATGGCGAGAAGTCAGTTTTACGGCTGTTAAAGAAATGGATTTGCATGAAATTCGATATCCTGGTGGTTTTTGGCTGGATAAAAAGAAATCCTTCATCAATTCTTGAAATACTAAATAATCGATATCGCATTTCATGCAAATCCATTCGTTAACAGCCGTAAAACTGACTTCACGTCACTTTTCCACCGCCATTTTGAAATTCGTCGGAATTTCAGATATCCAATGAAAGATTCGTTCTTCTCGTGCCGAAATACCCTCGGATACCAAGTTTCATGCAAATCCAACGATTAGCAGCCGAAATATCCACTTCTCGCTCTAGGCCGCCATTTTGACCGCCGCCATTTTGAAAAGGACTGACTTTTCTGGAAAACCGATGCCAGAATCGTTTTTCTCGTCCGAAAAAACCCTGAAGAGTCTGAGTTTGAGACCAATCCGCCGCTAAAAAACGGAGATGCCAAATTTCCGCCATTTTGAACTTTGACCGGCCGCCATTTTGTCAAAAATCAATATTTTGACCTGCGGCTTGCGCCAAAAATTTTCTTTTTTTATCATCTTTCGAATGAGGTATCACAAAGGGGGGGGGTTGCTATTTGAAAAAAAAAAGTTAGCCCCCGCCCCCCTTAGGGGGAGCCGCCCCCCAAAATTTTGGGGGGACCAAAAAGGTGCTACTTTAGACCGAGGAACATTCTCAAAGTTTCAAACTTCTATCTCAATTTGGAAAAAAGTTACAGGGGTGGTCAGTGACTTTTGGATAACCCTGTATAGGAGGTATAGTATTCCATGCAATGTTCGTTGTAAATCTACATATGATTTATTTATTTAGATACTTTAATAAGGGAGGAGTGTCGTTTTGGGCCTTTTCCGGCCCCACCTGGATTTTGCTGAATGTTTCATATTTTCAAAGTACTAGTCCTAGGTAGACTTAATGCCAAATATTTTACCGAACGGAGCCCATGCAAAGGTGCAACAACGCCTCAAACCCAGAACGTCGGCATCGAAAAATACTTTTTTTCGTCGACTTTTTCGACTGTTACAACCCTTTCAGCAGATGATTCCTATGTATTTTTTTGCGTACTTTCCGTTTCTGGCCTTTTTAAAGGCCTCCGATAAATTTTAAGGGGCCTTATGGTCCGTTGTTGCCATTTTGGCCCATTTTTAGGGGTTTTTTTCAATTTTACACACGCAAAAATTAATTCAAACTATGAATCGAGTACGTTTTTGAAAAGCACGCAAAAAAATGAATAAAAGATGTTCTGTGAAACTTCTCCCTATGTTGCCAAATTTTCGAGAAAAATCGTCCCAAAGAGCCAAAAATGGCAAAAATTCGATGAATTGCCACGCTTAAGGTTCAAGAAAGTGGAGTACAACCTGTATATTGACGTACGTAACAGCTCTTACCTATATATACAACATATCAAAAAATTATAGTTGTACCTGGATTCCCACGATGTGAAAATTGACTGGGATGTCGATTTTAGCGGCCTTCCTTTACTTGAAGGGAGCTCTTTAGAATGTTTCTCGACCTTTGTCACCCTCTATGGGTGTGTACTATATGTATTTTTCTACGTACTTTTCATATCTGGCCATAAAAATGGCTTCCTGTGAATTTCAAAAGGCGTAACGGTCCATTGTTGCCAATTTTCACCAATTTTTAGGGTTTTTTTTCAAGTTTACATGTGTGAAACTTAATTTAATCTAAAAACCGTGTACATTTTCGGAAAGAACGTAAAAAAATACATTTAATGTGATTTGTAACTTTTCCCTACGTTGCTAAGTTTTCGAGAAAAATCGTCCCGAAGCGCTAAAAATGCCACAAATTGGATTAATCATCACGTCGAAGGTTCCAGGAAGTGAATTGTAAGTTTTATTTCACTACAATTAACGTATCGAAAATGGAAAATTGTAATGCGTCTCACGGGACATGTAAAGGGCTCAGTTGAACGTGACGGAAGGGACCCTCAAGGTGCTTTTACCTTATCCTTCACCAGTTCACCTCTTTATTCCTGTAACCTCGAGATAATCCTTGGTTCTCAAGATGCTTGCTACATGCCAAATATACCAAACAACAGGAACTGCGTGGGGAAAGTGTCCCACGATCCACATGAAAGTCATAATTCACTTTCTAGAACCTTCGACGTGATGGTTAATCTAATTTGTGGCATTTTTGGCGCTTCGGGACGATTTTTCTCTAAAACTTGGCAACTTAGGGAAAAGTTACAAATCACATTTTATGTATTTTTTTACGTTCTTTACGAAAATGTACACGGTTTTTAGATTAAATTAAGTTGTGAGAGTGGCCCAGGGACCTGGCACCCAAGTCGAGGGCGCTGACAAAACCCATACGTCACGGGACTGGGCATCGGTGGAGCACCCCCGAGCGAGAGGGCAGAGGGGTAGTATCCCTTCTGCGCATGCGCAGGGCGAGGCTTGACCGGTTCCGAGTCAAGTGGAGGGGGTAGCCAGAGCCGGAGACCTAGGGAGCTCCTCGGAGCTGGGCCCTGGGATTATTCTTGGAGAGACTGGCGATCGAGCGGCACTTGTCCGCTCCTCATCCCATCGACCCGGATTCAACCAGCGCTTGATTATTGTGTGCCCTTGTAGCAATCAGCATTAGACATTGCATCTCATATCACTTTTGGTTCTCTTCTTGTCTTCGCTTCTTCCCGTCCATCACCTCTGTGTCTGCACTGCCGTTGCGACGAGTGTCAGCTCTGCACTTGCGACGCCCTGCGTCTGCATTGCTCTAGCGACGCCATCGTCTGCACAGCAGACGCGACGCGTGTCGGCACTTGCTCTTGCGACGCCTTGCGTCTGCACTAGCACTTGCGACGCTCTACCCCCCCTGAGCTACGCCATCTCACAA